GTTAAGCAGTTCTGGGTCTTAATGGTGATACTGCAGTGAAAAGCTGTGGTGTTGCCTGTGCGCGGCAAGATCGATCCGTGGCCGTGGGAGAGAGAGAGAGGTACTCTATAGGAACAATGGAGAAGAACATGGAAACTACTACAATGGGGTTATATAGGGTAGGATTGAGGGATTCTATAGGAATCATGGAGAAGAAAAAGGAAACTACTACAATGGGGTCATATAGGGTTTAGGGTTTAGGATTTAGGGATTCTATGGAATCATGGAAAAGAAAATGGAAACTACTACAATGGGGTTATGTAGGGGTTAGGGTTTGGGGTTTAGGGTTTAGGGTTTAGGGGGACCGGTGGAGGGTGGGTTTGTTGCAATCGCTCAGAGTTTGGGGCGTTTTTTGAAGTTTGAGATTTTAAAGCTCTAGCATTTTCATATTAAGGAGTTTCATCTTTGGCATTGGAGCCACAAGCAATGACAAGTTAATATGGGCCTGAGGGTTTAGGGTTTAGGGTTTAAACCTTAAACCCTAAACCTACACCAGGTGGATCTGAAGCTTATCGCAACAGGGTCTAGCTGCAGATCAACAGCCCTGTTTACCAGGTGGGTACCCCCATAGAAGGCTCATATGAGCTACGGACTGAATTTAGGTTGGGGGGGACCTATAGGGGGGACCTATGGGTAATGGAGGTTTGTGAGGTTTATAAAGGCCTCCTTTATACAACGGGTACAGCCCTGCGAGCCCAACATACCTCTGAGAACCCCCTAAGATGTTATGTGCGTCGTGTCAACCTCGCGTCTTCCCTAGACTTTGCTGAGAGTTTCTCGAAAGACGCTTGCTACAAACCAGGAGGTTTCCTTGACTCCGCGCCTGGCTGTCAAGAGGTTCTAGTACCTTCTCTACAAGACCACCATGCATGCCCCAATATGCGCCCCTCGCTAATCCGCAACGGGGCCTTACTTTGTGCTGGCCCATACATTGAGGGGCAGCCTTAGTAGCACCATGATTTTCAAGAACGCGTTGAACAAGTGGCCACTGCAAAGAATACAGCTAACTTCTGCATCAGGTCGTTTACTTTTACTTCTACTTCTACTTACGTTTTCTCTTTCTACTACTGTGGCTGCTACTACAGCCGCTACAACTGTTACTACTGCTACTACTATTATTCTTATTATTGCTACTATTACCACTACCTCTAATATTACCTCTACCACTACCAATACCACCACCACCACGACGACTACTACTATTACTTCTACTATTACTACGAGTACTACTACTATTACTACTCTTACTACTACTACTACTACTACTACCACTACCACCACCACCATCACGAGTTCGTCTTGTCCATCTTTGAGCTGTGCGAGCCCCAACCTGGACAGGACGTACTGAAGGAAGCAATCACGCCGGGGGCTGAATGTGGGCCAAATGATCGCTCTGAAGCTATAAGGGTTCGGGTTATTTCGGGGTTGCAGGGATCTTTTCGGCTGGTAGGGATATATGACCTTATGAATGGCGAATCAAGTGCAAAAGAACATGAACAAGGAAGCGGAACTTGTTATAGCGGAGTTATATAATTTCTTGTAGGGACCCCTCATCCCCTTATAGTCCCTGCATATCTCTTTTTTGGGTTTCCCTGGTATAGTATGGCCTGCTGTTTTTAAGAGTTCCCAAGAAGGGGAATGATTTTCCATTGTCTTTAAGGGTACACAAGAAGGGGCCATCATCTTGCATAGGGTCCCCAGGGCCTCCGCTTTGCGAACAGCTGACATTCTCATGTTGTGTGGATGGCCGCATGCTAACTCAGAGCCTCCGGGGTAGCCGACAGTGTAGTACGGGATGAGAATGCCAACACCCAAACTTCGATAAACAAGGTCATTGAATTATTGAAATTCTAAGTCAGGGGAGGGTACTCTTGAAAAGGTAGTCTTTCAAGCCTTAGTACAGGGTTTGTTCTGGACAGCCATCGTCTCACAACTTGGCGGCACGCCACTTGGAAAGGCATGTCGTAGGCACCTACTCGCAAGCTCAAAGCTCGAACCAAAGTTGGGCAACCCCCCCATCCCAACCCTAAACCTTAAACCCTGCCAACCCAAAAGTTTTTGACAAACCTCTACAACTCTTTATAGCACTCTACAACTCTATCTGCATTCTACATTCCTACATAGCCCTATATGATCCCTACATAACCCTGTATGATCCCCATCTTTCTGGGCGGCTGGGGTGGAAGTGCCGCCGCCAAGGCGCAAGACCAAGAGTGCGGTGCAGGGCCAGGCCGTGGCTGCAATGGGGTTCAGGGTTTAGGGTTTAGGGTTTGGGGTTTGGGGTTTAGGGTTTAGGGTTTGGGGTTTCCCAAAATTGGGGTTTACATGAGATATTCTCCCCGGAGAGTGAAGAATCAAATGGAAAAGAAAATGGAACATGAAAATGTAAGCTGGGATTACATAGGGGCTTGTATAGGGTTTAGGGTTTTCCAAAATCAGGGGTGCCGTTAAACAGGGGTATGTTACTTATATAATGTTCAGGGTTTAGGGTTTTGCAAAATTAGGGGTACCGTTAAAAAGAATATATGGGGTTTATGTAGGGTTTAGGATCTCTCAAAACTAGGGGTACCATTAAAAACGGGTATAATTATATGGGGTATATATGGTTTGGGGTCTCCCAACATTAGGGGTACCATTAAAAAACCATAAAAAGGGTATATAGGGGTTAGCTGGGGTTTAGGGTCTCCAAAAATTAAGGGTACCATAAAAAAGGGTATATAGAGGGGTTATATAGGGTTTAGGGTCCGGGGTGTATAGGGGTTATATAGGGTTTAGGGTCTCCCAAATTTGGGATACCATTAAAAAGGGGTATAAAGGGGTTAAATAGGGTTTGAGGTTTCCCAAAATCAGAGGTACCATTTTTGGTGGTTTAGGCACGTAGGGTTTAAGGTTTAGAGGTCCCTAAAATGAGGATTTTGGATTTTCGGGGTCTACATTGGGCTCCCGCTCTTTAGGGAAACTACCACTCACGCTTTGGGGTTAGAAGTTCAGCGTTTTCAGGGTTTAGGGATTAGGGATGAGGGCTAAGTGTCAGGGATTGGGGTTGTTAGGATGAAGAGTTCTTCCTCAGCCAGCAGACCTATGGAAAGGGGCCTCGGTACACAGTGTCCGCGTCCAGGAGTTGTCCAGGATGCTGTTCATCTAGCATAGACCTTATATTGTCCTAGTGTCCGCATGTAAGTCTTACTTGAGCCTTATGTAAGGGTACCCACGCCTTTTCTACCCCCCTGAAAAATTCCCTTAGTTCAGAAGACCTTGGCATCACGTGGCAATCTGTTGGCTTGCAATGATTTAACTGGGTTGCGATTAAGGAACTTAAATTAAGTTTCTAGAGTATGGGTATATAGTAAATAACAGGTTTCCCTTATTATAGTAGCTTCCTTGAAATTCTTATCAGCAACCCATTAACGACCTGCATCACATCCCTAAATGGAAGATATCACGGGGTGTGATATGTCCCTGTGAAATTCCTATTGTTGTTGCTTGCTTTGAAGAACAGAGCAACTGAGATGCCAGAGGCCGAGATCAATGCGGGAAAGCTGCGGGCGTGGGCCAGGGCTCCAGATGGGGCTTTTCAAAACAGGGGAGCCTTGAGGACCATGCTTGGGGCATCAGGGGTGACTTAGGAAGCAGATTAATAAGGAGGATAACTGGGATTGTTTGTGGGTTATATGCGGGGTTATAAATCTATTTACCAAGTCTCCTGAACCCTCCAAGTAGGTACGTGTAGAGCCTATAAAGAATGTATGGGGTCCTCCTGAAGGCTTGTACATGGGGAACGTCGAGAAGGTTTCAGATGTTGGCTGCTGCTGCGCGGAAGTTGCCAGAATACTCTGCTATAGTCCCCCTTAATTAGATAGAATATAACCCCAATATAGACCCTATTATAATACAGTAGTTTCCATTTTCTTTTGATTAGCCCTAAATAAAAACTATAAAGCCCAATATTCTATCTGCCTTAAGGGGGACTATAACCCTAAACCCCATATACCCTATACTCTATCTACTTAAGGGGGACTCTAGATTTTGCATCTGCAGGTGTTATGGCTTGGATGGTTTGAGTCGCAGGATGCCTCAGTGGCCTCAGTGGCCTAAGGCCAGCTAGAAACTGATAGAAATTTCAGCCCACGACAGTTCTCCTACACTTTTTGTAAGACATGCTTAGGATTCGGTTTTCTCATGCATTCATAGACCAGCCAAACCACAGCTCTCAGCCTGTTTTTGCAGATTTTTGGTTTCAGCCTTTTTTGGCGGGGCCCGCCCCATGGACGCTCACTGTCTGAATGATGAGGATTGTCAGTTACCACCCTGCGAGCCTTGGTTGAGGCTGGGGTGTTACCAACAGCTTTGAGAGGTGGGAAAACGTTACGCCTGCGCCTGAAACAGTGGCTGCAAGAGCCTGCACCCTCCGAGCAGTAGGAACAACAACCCTATATTACTTTCCTATATAATCCTTATAGCTCAACTCACTAGAGTTTCCATTTCATGTTCTATTTTCTTTTCCATTCGATTCTCCATTCCTACCTACCATTATAGCTTGTTGTCACTATTAGTGAGTGGGGACCCAACCCTAAAACCCAAACCCAAACACTGAACCCTAAACCCTAAATCCCCCAAAAAGCCAAAACCCTGGGTGGGCACCTACCCAAAGTGATGTTAAACCTGTATTCTGGCCCCAGCCTGCGCGAGGTGCCATTATTTTTGCACGTATATGCTCAGGGTTATTGGGGAGGTGTAGGGTTTAGGAGTTTAGGAATTCAGAGGGTTTAGGGATTTAGGGTTTAGGGTTCAGGGATTTAGGGCTTAGGGTACAGGGTTTGGGGGTTAATGGACTTCTTGTCCATTCTGTGTGTTTGCTCCTTGGAGGGCTTCATCTAGGAAGGGGTGTGCACTAAGATTCTGGTCCTTGTATGCCCTCCAACCAGCAGCTTTCTAACTTCAAATTCTATGGCATGTGCAGTGCAAATTTCTTAAGTTCGTCCATGTCAACGGGCCTTTGCAGTCTCTTGGTCATTCCATATGGGGGTTTCCTAAAATTAGGGGTACCCTTTTGGGGGTCCCTATAATAAGGATTATAGTATTTTGGGGTCTACATTGGGGTCCCCCTATTTTGGGAAACTACCATATTGAAGTACTTGGTGGTGGGGGTTCGTCGAGTGAGAGCGACCATGACCCTTCTCCAAATCCTGTGTGCAAAATCGCTCAGCCAGGTCATGTCTTACAGTTCCTAAGCGGGGGTTTTCCAAAGACTGAGGTTCCCGATAAGAAGGACTAAGGTTTTTTGGGGTCTACAAAGGGACCAGTATCTCCGGAAACTCGTGGTGCTTCAGAATAGGTCCGGGCATCTATACCCCCTATATCACTCCCCATGCTCCTTATAAACCCCGCATGCACCCCTTATATAAACTCCCCCCATTGGACTCCTGCAGTTAGTCCCAACCCGTTCCCCCTAACAATCACCCGCCCCGACCCCCTAATAAAAAGCCCCCCCCCTCTATATATATATATATATAAACCCGTATACATATCCACCCAGGTATGTATGTATATATACATACACATATACATATACATGCATGAGGGGGGTTTATGGTTAAGGGAGAGGTGATGAATCAATTGGGTACTGCCCCCCTCAGTAACAGTTGGATAATAAATATAATATGGTTATATATAGCCCTTAATAGGACCCCTAATATCGACTGTTACTGGGTGGGGGCAGTACCCAATGAATCATGGTCTCCAGGCATACCTCGCTACACAGCAACTTAGACCCAGAGCTGCTTCGGGGTGTGCCGCTGGACGTCTGCCTAGCAGGCTGGGGTCCTGCGGGGTTTAGGGTTTAGGGTTCGGGGTTTAGGGTTTTGGGTTGAGGGTTTAGGCTTTAGGGTTCGGTGTTTAGGGTTTAGGGTTTTGGGTTTAGGGCTTAGGGTTCGGGGTATAGGGTTTAGTTTAGGATTTAGGGACGCCTGCCTACCAGGCTGGGGTCGACACTTCCGTGCTCCGAATGGCTACATGGACAGCTGCCCAAATAAGGGTTAAGAGGTAAATGCAGGCTGGCAGGATGAAGTTCAGCTCTAGGGTTTGGGATGCAAGGCCTGATGGGCTTAAGGGTTGTGGGCTTAAAGGTATTCAAGAAGCAACCAGAAAGTTGACACTGCCCAGATGAGAAACCCTGGCTCTGGCAGAAAGCTTTCGTGGCTATATAATAGCAGCATCAGATGCAAGCCTATTTCCCACCACCGCCGACTCCCCCGCCGCCGCCGCGACGACGACGAGGACGAGGACGAGGATGAGGACGAGGATGAGGACGACGACGGTGACGACGACGAAAACGATTACTTCTACCGCCACTTCTGCTATCGGGCACTCATACTAGTACTGCTTCTTATTCCCGCTGATGCTGCTGCCGTCCCCATCTCCCGGGCGTACCAACCTCGGGCGACAACAATCATGGATGCCATCAATTTGATACAATACTGCCTGTATTTTTAGAAGCAGTTGCCTGATGTGTAGAGGGTTTATCTATCTAGGATACGGACATCTTGAAGGTTGAGCGGGCTTGGGTACCTTGGGGTCAAGTATTCGGAGTCAGTCTCAAGTATAGGGGATGAAGACCCCGGGAAAAGGCAATGGCGTGAGCAAAGTGGGCTTCGGGCGATCTCCAGAAGTTCTCCAAATGGTCAACTTGCATTTTATTGTTTGGCTTCTTTAACTGCGAGGATAGTACGGTAATGCTGCTGATGATTCTAGCACTGCATACCATACACCATGAGCGCTTCGAGAAGGTAGCCATCAGGCCAAGTCTAGCGTTTCAGAAGTATTTAGGCCAGTTGCTATGAAACGAGCCCGAGGAGAGCACGGACCCCGAGAGTTACAAGCTTAGCCAAATTACGGAGTTGATTGACAACTTTATCAGCCACGACTGGGAGACTTCGCGCTTCGTGAAGGCAGGACCCTTCCCGTGGCTTCTCACCTAGACCCCGAACATATTATCATTATTATTACTACAAGTATTACAAATATTGGTATTTCCAGTATTATATCAAGCTACACAGGTGCTCCTGTATCAGCCTTATCCTGAAACATCTCAGAGAAGAAGGTAACGATGGGTCTGTCTGGTTTCTACATTCCTTACTTGGAGGGCGAGGGGGCTTAGTAAGTAGGTTAACCAGGTGCATAGCTAGCATAGCTAGGATCCATATATGGCTTCTAGGGGTTATTAAGCTACTTACCAAGTCTGCCTGACCCTAAGCCCTAAACCCTATGCTGTATAGTAGTTTCCATTTTCTTTTCCATTATTAATCTACTTACTAATTGCCCCCGGCCCCCCAAGTATTAAGTCGACTAGGTTGCTTGCTCTGCCCTAAGCTCTGAACCCTAAACCCTTGAAAACTGGCAGTGGGATCTGATCGCTAAGTAGCACGAATAGCAGTGTACGCTGCGCACAGCAGGAATAGGAATACTTACTGGGAGTTAGTGGGGAACAAGGGAATAGATAACTACGTGGGTATATCTACATATACGCATATATAACATGTTTAGGGTTGGGGTTTAGGGTCGGGGTTTAGGGTTTAGGGTTAGTAGAGAATGCGGAATATATTCTATAGGGATTATATAGGGAGTATTTTCCTGTATTCCCTGCTAACCACCAGGTAGGAAGAGCAGTAGTAAGAGCCGGAATAGCATGCATGACTTTACCATACTTTACCTGCGACAAGTAGAGTGAGCATGCTGCTAATATCCGAGCTCCAAAAACAAAACTTACGCCAGGGTTTAGGGTTTATAGTCCCCCTTGAGAATATGGCTCTGGGTATATCATAATAAGATCCCCATATATCCCATATTCTATCTACTTAAGGGTTACTGGTGCTCAAGTGGCAGTGCAGAGTGGTTCCCTGTAGGAGTCAGTATATCATTCTCGGAAGGAGTACCTATATTGCCTCCCCCCCGGTCCCTCTCATTGTTAGTATTAGTAATGCAACGTTGTGGTCATTATTGATGCTATTATTACTATTAGCGTTAATATTGTTACTACTATCATTATCATTTAGGAGGACCCCCCACCCTGTCATAGTGGTATAATAAGAATTTAAGAGGACCCTGATATAATCCCTATTATCCCTTATGGTCACTAATACTGGGTGGGGGGTCCACCTAAATTATCATTATTAAGCATCAGTGAGGTGCTGTCGCTGTTATGGATCTTCAATTCCGGGGCCGCGACCGTAGCCACGCTGATCGTCAGCATCCTGGTGGGGGTCCTTCGAGTGTATACCTTGCTTCCCAATCACTGGTGGCCAGTAGCGTCTCTTGCCTGCATCTATGTGAGCTACGGACTACATTTAGGTTGGGGGAGGACCTATGGGGACAATATAAGTTTTTTTTTGGGGGACCTCTTAAGGGATATGTTACAAATTTAGTCCAGGACTCATTTGGGGAAGAACCCAAATTGTAAACAGGTACTATGCTATGGTCCCCTGTTGCATGTCATTTTTTGGTCGACTGTAGGACTTTCATCATGGGCCGACGGGTTAAGGAAAAGGATTTGCTC